CTGGAAGGGCCCAGGATCGGCCCTTCCCGCTCGGTTGGCTGCTCCATCGGAGCAGGCAGCAGCGGGACCCTCACCGTGGCGTCCTGCCTCGAGCGGGTCCGGATCAGGCCCCTGGGAACGCTCCGGGTCCCTCCAGGAACAGCCACATCCCAAACCTCTCCCTTAGAAGGTAAAAGTTGGGTATTTCAAGAAAAAATGTATGTATTAGTCCCATTTGTCTACCAGGTACGGCTCGTCTAGCTTAGGCGTGCTTCTCCCCCATCCCCGTACGTTCATTGAAATAATGAAAAATGAAACGTTGGCTGCTCACGCCTCTAAATCGCCATTAAAAAATTAATGCCATCGATGCGTGCAGACTTCATCTGCCTCCCGTCCGCAAGGGAAGAGGGAAATCCCAAACCAACCTGGGAGGAATCGAGGGGTTCAATGGAGCCAGAGCGGCTTGGAGGAAAGGTCAGAGTCCTGCGCTCCCGCCCGGGTTTTCCTGCAAACTCAGCCCGGCGAAGATGCTCCTGCGGAGAGAGTTGGGAAATTCGGCTTCAAATGGTCAAGAGATTTGGGAAATTTGGCTTTAAGTGGCCAAGAGATTTGGGAAATTCAGCTTTTAAATGGCCGAGAGATTTGGGAAATTTGGCTTTAAGTGGCTGAGAGATTTGGGAAATTTGGCTTTAAATGGCCGAGAGATTTGGGAAATTCAGCTTTTAAATGGCCAAGAGATGTGGGAAATTTGGCACGGCCACCCACGCCAGCTCGCCAGGGGATCTCCTTAGCCCCTCACCCTCCACCCGCCCGGCGCAGGCTGCGCTCGCGCCCCTCCTGCAGCCCCCGCATTCCCACGGGAGCCGGGGGTGCCCGGGGGGAGGCAGGCGGCAGCGCCGATCAACGGTGATGGAGGCGCTGGGGAGGGCGGAGATGGGGGGAAAAGGAGCTTTTGGGGGGGGTGGCGAAAGCCAAGGAGAAAATCGAGGGGGTTGGTGCCCCGCGAGCCGTTCCCACCTCTCTGGGGCCGGAGCGGAGGCGTCCTGCGGGAACGAAAAGGAAGGGGATTCACCCGAAGGTAAGCGTCTATTTATTTATTAGTGGTAAGTAAATATATCAGTAGTGCGGAGAGAAACAGGTACATAAATAAGTAAATAAATATTCTCGAGAGATGAATAGATACGCAGATAAATAAATAAATAGTGTTAGTAAATAAACAAATACTCTTGGTAGGTGGATAGATAGATAAACCAATGTTCTTAATAAACAAACCCATAAATAAATAAAGACATCTTTTTTATAAATAAGTAGCGCGGAAATAAATATTATTGATAGATAGGGAAATAGCTATATAGGTAAATAAATAAATAGTATTATTAAGTAATACAATGAACAAATATTCTTGATAGGTAAGTAGATAGATAAATAAATATTCTTAATAACTAACTAACTAACTAAATAAATAAATAAAATAATCTTCCACCAGAAGCCGGGTCGGAGACCGGCGAGGCGCCGGGAGCCGGAAAAACCGGCCGGGGGCGGCAGGGCCCGGCCCGGGGGGGGGGAGC